AATTTATGCGTCTATCTATTTTTGTATCCTCTCCAATAATATCATCATTTCTTATAATGTGGGAATGGATTTTAAAAAATATAGAAAAATAAACCTTAAATTATTTTTTTCGAATATTTTATATCCCATTACATTAGTCTTTTAAATATTTTTTAAAATTAGTTCACTAAATAATTAAAATATTATCATATTTACCTTTATAAAAGATTAAAATTATACGAAAACATAAATTGAATAATTATCATATATTTTTATAAAACTTATTTAACAAAAAATATCTATACTACGAGTGTTGTATTTAAAAAGCTAATTCAATGATTTACTAAAAATAAAATAAATGAATAAAATGATTATATATAAAGCCAAAATAGATATAGTACTCTGTATCGTTTCTTATGCATGCATCAACTTGAAATAAGAATAATAAATTTTATATTTACTGGTCTGGAAGGATCAAGAACATAGTTATTAATATCTTACGATACATGATATAATTGATATCATATGATTCACAAGTTCAGCGGTACGTATCATGGGGTGTATCGGAAAGGGAGCTGTGATATGATACTGTATCATACAATATGATATTTTATCATGTATAATATGATACGGAAATAAATAGTTTTTTTTTTAATTTTTAATATAAAAATAAAGATTTGATTTGTGATTTAAATTAAAAAAGAATCTACAAATTTATTATTAATAAGAAAATGAAAATAAAGATTTGATTTGTGATTTAAATTAAAAAAGAATCTACAAAATTATTATTAATAAGAAAATGAAAATAAAGATTTGATTTGTGATTTAAATTTAAAAATCAATCTAAAAAATTTGTATTAATAAAGGAAATAATTAAAAAAATTTTTTTTTTATGTATATTTTTATTTTTTAAGTCCTTGAAATCTTAAAGATGACATAAATGATAAAAGTAAAGGCATCATCATACAAGAACAAGATAATGTCAACTAGTTTGATAAACGAAATGATATTGCCAACAAAAAATGATTAGGGAAAAAGACCTCGGATTGTTGAATAAGTGTTGGTAGAATATAGATCAGACGATCAGAATCGTTCTCAGGTAACAGTTGATTTTAATTTTTTTTCTGTTATATTCCTTAATTCTTGGATTGTAAGTAATCTCACATTTAAGCTAAGAACTAAATGAATCAAAGTTTTTATCAAACTTGTATTTAACCAAAAAAAAAAACAGAGATATCTATATAACAATGCAGCAACTATAAGGTACTGAAATTCTTGAATCATGGATTTTCCCAAAGAAATTCGCATCCCTGCATTTTACCACTGCTAGAACACTTTCATCACATAATTTGAATTACTAAAGCTATTTTGCTGGAATTTCCCAATCCCAGTTTTAATCCCCAAAAGAATCCTTTCCCAAAGTCTTTTGATTCTTTATACAAAAAATATCAAATTTCTCCTCTGGTTATCCCTAACCTCAGGGGTTCAACTAGTAAGAGTGCATTCACTTGATTTCCCAATCACAACTCATGCAAGAAATGTTCAAGAATCTTTCCCAATATTTCTTGAAACTAAGAGAGTTGCTAATCAGATGAAATAAAAGAAAGCCTAACAGCGTTCTGAAAATAAATGGGTTTATCCACTCATCTTGAATTCTAGAAAAGAAGAAAATTAGCTAGCCATTTCAAAGAACAAAATTAAAGATTCTAAAATTGAAGTAATATGCATTACCGAATGCAAAAAGGAATGAAAAATAGAGTTCAATACAGACCAGTATTTCAAGTATTAAAATTCCTAATAAAGTGAGGAAGAACTTGCAGAATTGGAGAGAAACATAGGTTGCATGAAGATCCTTGATCTGTCCCTAAGAAGATGCGTTGTCAGTGCCCTTCGAGTTCAAGAACTTGGAACAATTACACTCAGCTTAAACAAAAGAGTTTCAAGAACGTTCAAAAAGAAAAATACCACTACTGAGAAAAACTAAAACTAAAAACTATTCAGTCTCTTTTTTACAACCCACAAAACACCTATTAACTAATCTTCTTCAAACAGTTGTTGTCCTTTGATCTTTTTGTTCATCCAAGGGTTCAGAATTGTTCCAGCCTTACATCTCACCGACGTGGCCTTCTTTTTTTCTTATCCGAAAGCAGTGAGGTAAAATTTTGTAAGTAAAAATACAATTACGTTCATCATTTTACCTTTTTCCTCAAATGGGCCATGTTGGTTCTCTTTAGGTCTAATTACCTGTATTTTCAACACTTCACAGTCAAAATAAAATAGAAATCAGCCTATTAAAATAAGTACAATTCATTGCTAACAATAAGAAACGAGAGATGAGCCAAATAACTATATTAATGAAGAGGATGATGGATTAATTATGTCACTGATAGATGCTGATAGTGATAGTAGTGATAACATTAGTCTTGATGAGTAGAAGAATATCTGGTTTGCACTTCAGTTACTTATGTATTTTGTTGATTGGATTCTTTTTGAAATTTGAATTTATATGATATTAAGTATATTATATATTTTTAAATTATTTTTTATTATATTTCTGGATCTTACGATTCAATACGATTCACGATTCATAATACAAAAAAAATGATCAAATGATACACGATACGTATTACGACTCAACAACCTTGATCAAGAATGTCAAACCGAAATTTGGTATTTGTATCTTTGATTAGTATGCTCGTGATAATTTATGAAAGAGACGCCGCAAGGGTTAATAGATAATTGAATAATGATGTATAGAAGAAGACGTGAGGTGTGTGCACAATGATAATAAAAAAAAGTAGGTAGTTCAAAAATATGTGTATGTAATTGGTTTAACCCTTCATTTATAAAAAAAAGTTACCTATATAAAAGTAGAAAGCTCATGTTATTGGAGGATAAGATAAATAAGCTTATCGCTTATTCCTTTGACATATGACACAAGATTATCTCTTTTCTCTTTTGCTTGCCATTTATCTTTAGTTATTGCTTCTTCTTCTTTTTTTGGTAAACATTTATTGCTTTTAAAAGCGATGAACTCATATGATGAAGTCAAAAATGATATTTAATTTTAATCAACATATATAATTAATAAATTAGAACGATTAAATATAAAAATATATAAAAGTAGTTATTATTATACCAACAATAATTTATCATTCTTGATAGAATAAATATGTTTATAATGAATTTATCAAAACAGAGAAGGATATTGTAACAACCAAGTAGTGTTATTACCAATCAATTTCACCGTTAGATCGATTATGTTGATCCAACGCTTATATTTATTTCCATCTTTGTATAGTTATGATTCCCCATATTTAAAGTGAAAGCATTAAATATGGAAAATCATAAACATACAAAGGTGGAAATAAATATAAAGTATTAAATATAAAAAATCATAATCATACAAAGATGAAAATAAATATAACCGTTGGATCAACATAATCGATCTAACAGTGAAATTGGTTGGTAGTAATATTGGTATTAACATTATTTGGTTGTTACAATATCTTATCTCTATCAATATATATATATATGTGTGTGTGTGATAGGATCCTTTCACACCAGTGTTAAATTTAAAATTTGACACCTCATAAGAGAGCCATTAGATCAAAAAAGATCAATGGTGTCACATGCTTACAAATCAGAGTCGTTGATCTTTTTTTGATCTAATGACTCTCAGATGAGATGTCAAATTTCAAATTTGACACTGGTGTCAAAGGATCCTACCTATATATATATATATATATATATATATATATATATATATATATATATATATATATGGGAGGGGTTATATTTACGACCCAAATAGTTTACAAACTCTTATAATCATATCTTAACCGTTGATTTCCGTCAATCAATAGTTTGTCATTTATTGTGAATTAACAATTAAATAATAAATTTGATTTGCGAAAATCTTAACCGTTGATTGACGAAAATTAACGGTTAAGATATGGTTGTAAGAAATTGTAAACGAAAATATGTTGTAAGTATAACCTTTCCCTATATATATAGAGGTAGGATCCTTTGACACCGGTGTCAAATTTTACATTTGACACCGGTGTCAAATTTTAAATTTGACACCTCATTTGATAGTCGTTAGATCAAAAAAGATCAATGGTGTCATATGCTTACAAAACAGAGTCGTTGATTTTTTTTATCTAACGGTTATCAGATGAGGTGTCAAATTTAAAATTTGACACGTCAAAGGATCCTACCTCATATATATATATATATAGGAAAATGTTATACTTACTACCTATTATTTTACTACTTGTTACTATCAAATCTTAAGCGGTGATTTTCGTCAATCTAACGGTTATAATTTATCACAAATTAATAATTAATTAATAAGTATGATCCCATAAATTACAACCGTTATATTGACGAAAATCAACGGTTAAGATTTAGTAATAACAAGTAGTAAAAAAAATAGGTAGTAAGTATAACCTCTCGTGTGTATATATATATATATATATATATATATATATATATATATATAATAGAGAGAGAAATATTACTCACATTTCACATGACATATCATCTCTCATTTTCTCTCACTTCGATTTTCGTACCCCATCTTTTTTTCTCTCTTTTTTCTTGTAATGGTAAGACCCACCTATTTTCTCTCTACAACATAAGATAATTATCTTACGGTACATGAGACTAATAAAATCCACGTATATATATATATATATATATATATATATATATATATATATATATATATATATATATATATATGTTTCTAATGTAACTTGGAGGAGCTCCTCCATTTTAAATTATGCTGAATATACTCCCAGGATGCTTTTGCGCAAGAAAAATTTGTACTACAAACAAAAGTTGTCTAATTAACGACGTTAAAAATGTAAACTGGAGTCTTCAATGTTTACCTAAATTAGAAGACGGCGGCAATAGCCGTCGCTCAAGTCTCACGTTGTTTTGACCCTGACACGACAACTTCCTCTTACTTTCCCATTCTCTGACGGCGGCAATAGCCGTCGCTCAAGTCTCACGTTGTTTTGACCCTGACACGACAACTTCCTCTTACTTTCCCATTCTCTCTTTCTTCCTCGCATGTGTATTTCATTTTCATTTTGCTTCTCGAATTTGTGAGAAGCCTTCCGTTCATTTTGGACCAAGAAAAGTCTCATTCTCATTCTTTATTTTATTTTATTTTTATTTTTATTTATATAAAAAAAAAATGTTTTACTACAACGATGTTCTTTGTTTTTATCCACAACTTTTTGGAGTTTTTAAACCCTTATTTCCCTTCTCTTTGAGTCTATGTATCTGTCTTTAAATCTATTCAACACAATCATCCAGCCTCACAAATTTTCAAATTTTTGTTTCAATTCGAAGTGCAATAGAAGACAGGTAATTGATTGTTTGTTAGGTAATCAATCACCTTTTTTTCAAGCTTCTACGGTTCCTAATTGATCATGCCATATTATTTCCGTTTTTGGGTTCAATTTTCTTGTAAACTTAGCAGATCTTGCTTAGCATGTTGGGTTAGGAGCTGCCTCTTTTTCTTTTTGTGCTGGGTTTTAATGCTTGGGTTGTTGTTTTGTATCTTCAAACTTTGAAATATCAAAAGATCACCGTTGTATTGTTTTTTCCTCCTCAATTTGATTAGATTTTGTGCCCCCTTCAAAATAAATTAATTAATTACATTCAGTGAACAAATTACTCTCCCTTACCCCCTTTTAATCAACTTCATTAATTTTATACATAGATCCCCCTCCATAGACTATTTCTCATTTAACAATTATTTGTACTTAATAACATTATTGAAGGTATGAGTTTTGATTTAATTGTTAGATTATTGTTTTTTGGTGACACAGGACTGCTGTTGTTCTGACACTAGCCCACTTGGTGCATACAAGAAAAGGCTATCTTCCTTTCTACACCTGTTTTGTCTTGTGTGCTGAATTTGAGAACTAATATCTGTTAGTCGGAGTCCTTAAATTTTCTGGTGCATGTGGTGTCTCCTTTGCGGCGCCACATCTTTTATCTATGGGGGAGTGGATTGTTGGAGCTTTCATCAACCTCTTTGGTAGTATTGCTATAAACTTTGGGACCAATCTTCTCAAATTAGGCCATAATGAGGTATGGCACAAATTTTCTTCTCATTTGAACCGTTTGTGATGTACTTTTATTTATATATGTTTCTTTCCTTTTTCTATTAAGGTATAAAAATTCACTTTGCTAATGTATTCCTTTCCGGATTTCAGCGGACATGATAATTATTGATTTAATGAATTGGTTATTGATCATTTTTAACCTCATCTGTAGTTACATCATTGCTTCTTCGGATTGCAATGTGGATAAGATACTGTCTGCATGATTTGTTGGATTAGGGACTAATGGGCACTTAAATGTGACATTGACTTACAGTATTAAAGTCAAACTTTCTTATACTGTGTTTCAGAATTGTCATGACATGTGACTTCTTTGAATGTCAATATTAATCTGCCGTCTGCACATTCTGTGGCAAGGATCACAGAACTAACTTACTATTTATTGAAAGTTGCAATTTCAAATTATTTGGGAAACATGAATAGGTTGGGTTATATTTTTTGTAGAGAGAAAGATATGTACTTGGAAGTGATAGGGTAAATGGAAAGATGACCCTAAAGCCTATTATATACTTCCAGAGTTGGAGAATTGGTATAGTCTATTTGTATTTATATATTGGTTTTGCACATTTTACCTAGGTGGCTGATTCCTGATTTTTGTTTTGCTTGCATAATTCTTGATATGCAGGCATCATATTTTTCTTTCTTGGAAATTGCCTTAATTTCATTTCCTTTGGGTATGCTGCTCAGGTATGTTCTCCATGATATTATTGGGATTTTTCATCCAACATATGATGTAATTTTATAATAGTATGCAGTAGTTTTATATTTTTTTGGTTGGTTGGCAACTTAAGCAAAATAATTAAATAAGTAATTTCTATTGATTAGACTTAATGGATGTATTTCCTTTCCTTTCGTTTACATATTTTTCTGTGGACTGTGCAGTCACTTCTTGCAGCTCTGGGATCTGTTCAGTTTGTATCTAACATTGCTTTCGCATACTTCGTCTTGAACAAAAGGGTGGCAGTCAAGTATGCCAAATTTGAATTCAGATTACCATTTCACTTTTCTTTTTTCACCAACAATGTTCTGGCAATATGAATTATTTTGGCTTAATCGTTGTGGCCTTTTAACAGGGTATTAGTTGCCACAGCTTTCATTGTTCTTGGAAACATTTTTCTAGTCGCTTTTGGCAATCACCAATCACCTGGTATGTAACATTTTGCCTAATTCAATTAAATCTTTGCTTGAAATTTTCCTAGTGAAAACAATGTTAATTAGGCTGATAGTCAGATTGTGCTTCTGATAGCATAAGTATTATCTGCAATTGAATAACCAAAATGCATAATTCAGCAAACTGCAAATATTCATTTCTACTAAACAGTTACACGATAAAGCAGTTATTGAACAGTTGAACTATGGTTCAAACTAATTTGTGATTAACTACTTGTGTTTCAGTTTATACACCAGAGCAGTTGGCAGAGAAATATACCAATATTGCGTTCCTTTTCTACCTTCTAGCTTTGATCTCAATTGTTGTCTTGCATCACACCATTTACAAGTAATGAGTAGGATTTGATTATTTGTTGCTAGTTTAATGAAATGATCTTTCTTCTTTATGATTAACATGTGCAATATGCAGGAGAGGAGAATTTCTGCTTGCAGTATCAGGACATGATCTCAAACCCTACTGGAACATGCTACTGCCTTTTTCATATGCTATAGTTTCAGGGGCTGTAGGTTCATGCTCAGTATTGTTTGCCAAATCCCTGTAAGTCAGCTACTCCAACAAACTATCATGCTTCATGTCATAACACAATAGCCATATACTTAATGCCTAATGTCAACTTCTTTGTGGCAGTTCAAACCTCTTACGACTCGCCATGTCCAATGGTTATCAGTTGCACAGCTGGTTCACGTATTCCATACTCCTTTTATTTCTTAGCACTGCCGGATTTTGGGTAAGGATTTTTATTTTTTATTTTTTGAGTAAAGATTTTTGGTAGGGAGCTTTATCAATGTGTGCAGATGTTCTGATCAAATAAAAATTTTGGAGTTAATTTATGACAAACATGAATGCTAACCCAATCTTTTCCTATGTATGCAGATGACCAGGTTGAACGAAGGACTGTCCTTATTTGATGCAATTCTTATTGTTCCCATGTTTCAGATAGTATGGACTTTCTTCTCAATCTGTACAGGATTTATATATTTTCAGGAATATCAGGTACTTTCACTTTCACCGATACACATAGGTAGCTTTTGCCTTGCATGTACACTCTTAAGAAGTTTTAATTATATTATTAAAGATAAATAATGAAATATCAAGTATCAACTCCTACTTGATGAAAAGGAGTCACTTGATTATATATTTCAAAAAATCAAATTCATAACATCACCTTTGTCTCAATATGTGGTCTATATAATAAGTAATCAGTCATCTAGCACCTTATAGAAGTAAATTCTTCTGAAGTTTTGATGCTTGTATAACTACTTGTAATTTTATTTTGTTTTATTTTTATGTGTCTCAATAATGAATTTAGGTTTCATGCAAAACTTATATTCCTGAAAGCAGGTATTTGATGGGTTAAGGACAACAATGTTTGTACTTGGAATGATGTGTGTGTTCATTGGCATTTCTTTGCTGGCACCTGATGAATCAAAAGGTATTATAAAAACTTTCAAAAAAAAAAAAAGGTATTATAAATTTATAATTGTTTTATGATTTTACTGTAACTCAAGGGATGCAGAGGATAATAGGTTACTTGTTCTGAAATTTTTCAGGTGCTGAGATTAAAGATAGCTCTCTGGATTCCGTGGTGTCTCCTGCGATTTCTATAGAAATGAAAGGTACAGTATGAGCTCTTTGTATGACTTACGGAAACTGAGAACTTGTAGCCCCTTCATTTTCTGAGACACTGCTGAAGGGAAGCTAAATGATTGAAGTACTAGTTCATTGTTTCAACTTAATAATATCTCACAGAAATTGTCTGTTTTTTTATTTTCTACATTGATCTTGGATAACAGAAACAAGTCCCTTGAAATTTGTTGACAGAATTATGTATGACAGTGTATTTCCTGTTTTTTTTCTCTTTTCCTTTAAGTTGATTTCTTTGTGGTTGTCACACATTGCTTGTTACTCTCATTGACTTTCACTAATGCTAATACTGTTTAGCTGTTATAGGTTGGTAGTGTCTACTGAAGAAGCACAAAACAAAGAGACAAAAAGATCATTTGTCAAAGGAATGCTGATAAAGATTAAAGATATGTTGGTCAAGGCAAAGGTATATAACATTTTCATTGGATGGCCATCTAATTTGATAAGTAACAACCCGAGCTAACCCGAGCTTGTATTTCTTTGCAGACTTCTTGTGCATTATCTCTTGGTTTAGGGGAGGATACCATTAATACATCTTCAGTTCTTGTGATGCCAATGATGTCATCAAGAATGACTGGATTCAGAGGTAATGTGATTGAGAGGACAAGGATTTTGTCCATGAGAAATTCTGGTTGGAGCAAGATCCCTGTGGATGAAGATGCTGGGAAATTGCTTGAAACTAGTCCAATGCTCCGTCCTAGCCCTTGATAGTGGTTGATAGCTATAGTATAGGATGTTCCACGGTTTGGATTTTTTTTTTCCACTTTTTTTCAATGATTGGAGTAGCTGAGATAGAAAACTGTTATAATTCCATTATTTGCTCTGTTGAGCATTCATGTAATCTTCCCCAAAGGGAAAGATTGATAGTATTTGAGGCTAACCAATTTGCAAGCTCCTCCAATTTCTAGTTGTCTAACTCATCTACATACTGATTGCTTATTTTATTTATCTATTCCCAGGGGATTTGATCAGTAGACAGGTTTAGAAGTCTACCAATATTGCCAACCCATTTATCTTTCCAGGATAGGAACAAAGAGACATCTATAATATTCCACACTAGAATTTCTTCAAGCTTCTTTCATGCTGAACAAATATGAGACCAGGTTCTCGAATCCCCTTATTTAACTCTAAAAATATTTACTCCCTCTCGACCAGCAACATATTTAGCATGCAGCAGCTGCACCCATAAAGTTTGAGGTTGAGAATAAACTGCTCCGGCCAATTTAGCTATGAAACATATTCAGTGACTATCAAAATATTATGGGTATCAGAATTCACAAAATCAAATTCTCTTATCATTTATGATAATTATATTCTTAGAATAATCCTCTATCTCATATTTCCGGATTAGGGTTTAGTCACATACCATTTACTGCCACAGCAGTACCAATTTTTAGGTCAAAACTCACTTTCTCAGAATACCCACAATGTGGGTTTCAATCTTTACAGAATTGAATTCTAAACTCATCTATGATACTGATATTATTAGAATAACTCTTTAACTCATATTCACCTGGTTAGGGTTATTCTATTGTCTATTGTTGCATCAGCAGTAGACAGTAGAATAAACTTCAAAATTAACAGGCATAAATCCACCTATTTAAACTTTAAAATACTAGCAATATGGATATCAAAATTTATATAATTTTTTTCTCATCTCATTAATGACCCTTAGATCCTCATGATATCTCTCTAATTTTGAATTATTCAAATTAGGGTTATTATATAACTCATAACGGGCAAATCAAACCCTAACCCCTTTTGTCATTGATAATCTTGTTTGTTGTTTTATTCTTAATTTGATAGTAGTTTAATTGCTTTTTTTATTTATAAATCATTTTTCACTCATCTCAAGTTTTTCATTTTATTCAAATAGATTTAATTTAGTGAATCAGTGTTTGAAGTATCAATTTATCATAAGAACAACACTCCACATATTCTTTATTTTTTAAATGATCGGTGCAGTTAATGAAGTTAGTAACACTAACCTCGACTCACATCACCCTCGCATTGGCGTGACATGACATGTTCAGAATTTAGGCGAGTAAAACCTCTAGTAATTAGTGTTGGATGTTAGGATTTGACGATTTGTGAAAGGTATTTGTGAGAGAGTAGAAAGACTCAAACCCGAAACTAATCATGTCCAAAACTGATTGGTATCTATTTGAGTAAGTAAACCGAAATTGTACTTAAAAGAGAAAAAATTATAGATATAATGTGATGTGGGAGTAAGTTTAAGCGTAAAGCATTACTTGAAGATTAACTCACTTAGCATCCTCTCTTTTTGTGTCTGAAATTTGAAGCTAAAAAAAATGCCATCAGAATAGCTATTAGAAGTCACTTGCGGCTATCATGAGCATTTCTCTGCTCAAGTGGGGATGGAGTGGATAGCTAGCAGTCATGATTTAACACATATCAAGATTGGATCCAAATGGAGAAATTAGGTGAATTAATCATGCAAAACACTGACCTGTGTGTTAACCTACCAAAACGAATTACTTCCATATTTCCTTCCATTGCCAAGACAAGGTAGATGGATTTGTCTTCTAGTCCTCACACACACTGACTTACATGTTAAACGAGCCAAGGTTTCTATCTATGACAACACATAGGCTCCCAAGATAATCAAAGAAAAATTATGGAAGGTAGAATCACAAAATTGAAGAACTCATCTCTCCACTTTTCTTTGTAGAATTGAAAGAAACCCATGTCTAGCTTTGACGTACACCAATCAAGCAGAGGAAGACAACAAAAAATGGACAGAAACCTAAATCTAAACCTAAATTATATTTTTCTTATAATTAGAGTATCACTGTTCCAATATTGGGAAATGCTAAAATAGGAAGTTTTTTCAAAAAATAATGGAGTTCAGTTTATAAATGATCCAGTTTGGTCTAGCTTAACGAGAGAGCTTTTGAGATATTCAATTGTGATGAGTCTCACATTGATTAGTAATGGACTAAATGAAGTCCATATAAGTGGAAGGACCCCTAAATCCAATGCCTTAAGATTTTGGGTTGAGACATAGTGTTGGATCCACTTGGTGTGATTGATTTAGCTCAACCTATTGGTAATGATCTCCCGTCATGAACTCTCCTTGGACCGCCTAACAAGTGCAGTACCTCGTCCGGGACGATAACCGGTTCGAATTTAATAATATTGTAGTTAAGATTATTAATAATGATTTACGCACATAAAAAATAAAAAAATTGCTTTGACAGCTTCAAATCTTGATCAAAATGTGACCTCTACCATCTACTCTTGACAAATGACAACAATAATTATTTGTCCCCTACCACCAATGTCCCATTTACTCTCCTTGGACCGCCTAACAAGTGCAGTACCTCGTCCGGGACGATAACCGGTTCGAATTTAATAATATTGTAGTTAAGATTATTAATAATGATTTACGCACATAAAAAATAAAAAAATTGCTTTGACAGCTTCAAATCTTGATCAAAATGTGACCTCTACCATCTACTCTTGACAAATGACAACAATAATTATTTGTCCCCTACCACCAATGTCCCATTTACTTGGTTTCTTTAATATTTAGACATTCAACATAAAATCAAGCGGGAAAACAATATAACTACTCTGAAATCACAAGCTAGTTTTCACATCCTATAGCCATATTTTTCATGTACATATAGATCATCCTATATATTTATATACACTTTGAACATATTGTCATAGAGGGATAGCAGATTTAGACATGGGATGAATAAACTGCTTGTTTTCAACTTATATAAGAGTGTGAATAGTGTGGTTTACACAGATATACCAAAAAAAAATAATGGTAGTTGAAAATGTGGGTGCAGGTGGGTAGGTCTAAAAAGCCTAAACTATATATCAAAAAGGCAAAAGCAGAAGCAAATATTATTCCCAAGGGTCCATCATCAGGTCCACCACCATACCTACAATGATGGAACACAAAAGTGAATGGGGAAAGGTACAAGCCAACGTTCTGCATATTCTTTTTCTATAACACACATTACCAATATACCACCTTTACGTTACTAGGAAAACATATAAAGATTGAATTTATATAATGAAAAGCAATAGAATTACGAATTACAAAGTACAAATATATCCAAAGCTCAAAAACTTTACAGCAAGTTGAAACCAAATACATAAAAAATGATGAAAGATCTCCAAGAGCAAATATTCCCATGAATGGTGAGAAAGAACTTGTTGATCAGCATGAAGTTGAAGAACATAATTATATATATGGCTTGTTTTTACATCTATTGGTACTGCAGTAACTGCATGCGGCTTTGCATTCTTAGTTGTTCATAGAACCTTCTGATAAAATCCTCAGCTTGATCATCAACTTCACCATTTCCACCCTCTTCATTTTCATCCTCTGAAGAGTAATTGGATACCCTTACAGATGAATCAAACCTAAGGTTGAACATGTATTCAGGGGTCTTGGGCACCAAAACCACAGCCTTAGGCTCTTCTTCACATTCAAGTGCAACCAATTCATTAGCTTTTTCTTCAATAACTTCAGGGGTATTGATGCAGGGGAAGTTGAAATGGTGCTTTCGCTTTGGTACATGGAAAAAAACAGGATTTGGACTGTTACTACAAGAGAATTCATATTCCTGTATGCCATAGCCACCACGTGCCAAACTCTTAGAATGATGATGATGATGAGAAGACATGAGATTTCCCAGAGATTTTCTGAGCAATTTCCCTTTCTTCATCATCAAATTCATGTCCATAATCAGCTTCCTCTTTGATACAAGACCCTTCCTAATCATGAAGAATGTGATCCTCAACACATTCCATAGCCTCTTGGCTATAACAGGAGAGTGTATCTCCATTTCTTATGAACTATACAAACAAAATAGCAATATAATTAACTTTCGATAAAAGGGGTAATATAACTTTGGATAAGGAAAAGAGAGAAAGATAACAAAAGAGATTTTTGGACCAAAGTTTGTGGTTTTCTCTTGTTCTGCGAGGCATTAACAAACCTCGCAGAAACAAGTAAACCCGATGAGAGAAAACGAAGGTTAATTGGTAAGGATTATATAGGAAGAAGGGCATGATGAAGTGTGAAAGAAGGCATATGAATAAGGAGTGGGTCATGTTTTCAAATGGACCCAACAACCGCTCCTCTTTGCATTCCATTCCCCACACCATTTGAAAAATAAAATAAAAAGCAACTATCCGTTTCAAAAACATAATCAATATGGATTTATTAAAGGGTTTAACATTTAAAAAAAAAATTGCACCACACATATATAAAAGTGAGTAGATTTTGTTATTTAAATGTGACTTCAAAAATATTTCTACAGGAAAAAATATTTTTCATTTAATAAAAAAAAATTAATGGCTCTATTTCCATGTATTTAAATATGTGGTTATGTTTTTTATGTTATAAGAGATCATTAATATTATCCTTTATACACATAAAAATGTGTAAGGCCATGTAAAGGAAAGAAAGAGAGAAAAAAGTATGGACATCATATATTTATATTACGTATAAAATATAAAATCATCTCCGATATTAATCCATTTAAATATAGTTGTGGACCTGATGAATTCAAATACAGCCAAACACCACCGTGTTTAGAATTTTTTTAATAGAAAAAAAGGGGAGCCATTAGGCAAAAGTACCCTGGTTTTGGTCGGTGTGGTGAAAAAGGGATTCAACGGCTCAAATATGATCTGGCCCAAACAATGGGTCCCCATTTATTGTGTACATTTCAATGAATCGAAAATTTGTGTATTTTTTTATTGTTATTCATCAGCCAAAAAGAAGAAAGCTTTATTGTTATATTTTTATTGTTGGGGACATCTATCCCCTTTGTTGAGTTTAATATATACATTGTTCCCCTACAACCCTTCCTTTTGGATAAGCAATGGAAGGTTCCGAAGTGGTTTTATTTAGTTCGAAATATCTTGCAACAACAAAGAAACTTGGTACCCAAGTCAAGGATAACTTAACTTGTTCGTCCTCAATAACATGCTTTGTAAAAACACCACATTCTAAGAAAGGAGGACTACTTATACATCCTCCGACCAGTAAGGTTCGAAAGACAGAACTTAAAGTCTTTTATTTTTAAATATAATAATAATAATGTTTAATATGTTAGGAAGGAACGTGAATTTTAATGAATATAAAAAAATGTAAATTATAAAAAAAGATCACGTATAATATATTCATAAAAAAATTTATTATATTTTACTTAATAAAAAAAATACCTTCAATGAAAACAATAATCACTTAAGAGGAAAAAAAAATTAAAATATTACTATTTTAATAAATAATTACTAATAGATGACAGTTTGAAAACAATTTGCGAATTTGTTGCAGTCATTCACGCTCAAAAAGGTCTGGAATATTCATGCATAAAGTAGACATGAATTCCACGTCATTCACACCCAATATAGGCGTGAATAACTACCATCTCATGTCTCTTTTAGGCGTGAATGGCACCCATCTTCCTTATATAAACACCTAGCATCTCAACATTCTTCACAAATCTTCTACATCATAACTTCTTAGTCTTTGATACAGTCTCATTGTTTATGCATACTTTGTTATGTGTTTTTTTTGTTAATATAGTTAAGAATGAGTTCACATTCGGATTCTGTTCGTGTTGTTTAATATTATAATTGTAGGAAAATGGAAGGTCGATGTGGTGCCATTTTTGAAGGCGAGAAAAGGCCAACACGTCTTATGCGCAACTCAACAGTTAGCGAACTACATTAAAAAATTTGTCAAAAATTAGTGCTTGAAGGTAAGCAATCTATCAATATGGTCACTGCAAGAATATGGTGTGAATCACAATACATTAGTATGCAAGTTGTGGACGAAGAAGACGTAGAAATGGTAATTGGAGAATTTTTCAACCAGTCAAGGAAAGACTTTTTAGAGTTATACGTGGATATTGCCGAAGCAGAGGATGTTGCTTTACCTATGAGGTAAGTTGATTTCAATTTTGCACATAATGCATCATCATCTGCTGCTCCAGTTGTTAATCTATTTATCGAAGGAGAAAATGACCCTACCTGGGTTATGGAAGATGATGGTGATGATGACAATGATGAAAATATCGTAATGGAAGATCAACTTCTTGTTGAGGATGCTAGTGCTTCAGACAATGATGATGGGCATGGTATTCCTGAATCTCAAATCCAAGAATATAATGCTTTGGGGGAGTCTCATGTCGAGGAACATCATGACATCGCGTCCACTCAGTTACCATAAATTTCAGAAGGTGTGTTAGTAAACAATGAAAATATACGTTTATATTCACCTCTTTTTTTAAATAGTTTTACTTCGTACATGCAGGTGGCGATGTTGGTCCATTTTGGAAAGAAATTCCACACTACACATACATTGATTGTGATCATCCGAGGGAACAAGATTCTTATAACGAGGAATCAAGTTCAGGTTCAGGTTCAATTAATGGTCCATGGATAATAGGTAACAAGTTGTCTGTTAAGCAAGAATTTGCATAAAAAAAAGAGGCACAGATGGCAATCAAGAGAAACCTAATGAAAGAGCATCAAGAAGCAATTGTGCTTGAGAGCACGTGTACCAAGCTAAGTATGAAATGTTGTGCGCATGAACAGGGTTGCCCGTGGAGGGTTAGGGTAATAAAACCAACGATGGTGAAAAATGGAAGGTTACTAAATGGGGTGGAGACCATAATTGCCTGAATGACCATATTTCTCAGGGCGATAGACAGCTTGATGTTGATGTGATTGCTTCACTCGTACTAGGTAAGTAATTGGATTATTTTGTCAATAACTGGTTTGTGTTTAATATTTACATGAATAAGGTTTAATATCTACCTACCATATGATTGTTAGGAATGATAAAAGAGGAGCCATCAGTCTCAATTGCACTTGTTCAGGAGAGGATCACCCATGCATATGGTTTCAAAGTTTCATATAGAAAGGCATGGTATGCAAAACATAAAGCAATGGCGATCATGTATGGTGATTGGGAGGAGTCTTATGCATTTTTTCCTAGGTGGTGTGAATATATGCTACGCTTTTCTCCATGTTCTGTTTATAATATTCAAACAAATGATTGTTTTGTTGCTCATGGACTGGTACGTGAAAAACATGTGTTTCATCGTATTTTTTGGACTTATAGACAATGTTGTGAAGCTTTCAATTTTTGCAAACCAATAATTCCAATCGATGGCACTCATTTATATGGTAAGTATAAAGGGAAATTATTGATTGCCACGGTCAGGATGGAAATAATGAATCTTTGCCACTAGCATTTGCCATTATTGAGGGCGAGACTTTGGAAGCATGGGAATACTTCCTTGACAACATTCGTCGTCATGTCATGCAAATGCAAAACATGTCTCATTTCATATCGGCATCAAAGCATACTATCTGTTGTGGAAAATCATCGTGGTTGGCAGCCACCACATGCCCATCATGTGTTTTGCCTTCGCCATATTGCTAGCAATTTTAATCAAAAGTTTAGGAACGAAAAATTGAAGAAGACAATTACGAATTTAGGTATAAGTTACATGTTTTTTACGCCTCCTTTGAAAGTATTACTGAAAGTAAATATTATTAATTATCATTGTCTTTACAGGTTATACTCCATCTAGGGTTGATTTCGACATAGCCTTTGTAAAATTTCATGACACTAGTCCTGAGATTGCAGATTGGATTGATTAGATTTCAAAGGAAAAGTGGACGCGTGCATATGATGTGGAGGGACGTAGATATGACCATATGACAACAAACTTGTCTGAATCAGTTAACAGGGTGTTGAAGGGTGCAAGAAACATGCAGATTACTGGTTTGATTAAGCATACATACAACAGGCTAGTTCATTATTTTGTTACCAGGGGTCAAGCAGCTGTCGCACAACTTCATGCTTCACATCGTCATTTCAAAAATGTGGTTGAATCGATGAAGTATAATGAGTCCCTTGCTACAGGTCACAATGTTCATACATATAATGTTGATCAAACTGTATTTGAAGTTGACGAGTGTTATAAGAGGTCGTATTTTGTTAACCTTCCAGAGAGATCTTGTCAATGTGAAAAGTTTAAGGCTTTCAAGTACCCATGTAGTCATGTCACAGCGGCTGCACTCAGTGTTCGGCAGTCTCCTTTTCAATATGTGGACGATGTGTTCTTGACTTCATGCATACTCGTTTCCTTGAAAGCCAATTGGTAATGAGGTTGCTATTCCACCTTGGGTAGGTCCAGTGGTCATACCGGACAAAACAATGTTGTGTGCAAAAGGTCATCCAAAGTCCACCAGAATACGTAACGAGATGGATGAAGTTGAAACCATTCAAAGTCAAATTAAGTGTGGCCTTTGCAAGCTACCTGGGCATAATCGTCGATCTTGTCTTAATTGTTTACCTAACCAGTGATGTTGTAAACGTTTGTATTCAAAATGTTTGGTTTTATGTAGCATTATGATGTTGTGTTATCTATGCCCTGTGAGTCGAATATGTAGTTGTGCAAAAAGATAAATAACTTATACACAATCTGGGAATAGCATACAATCCATGAAATATACAGACATAGTGTAGTCAAACCCAATAGTCCATAGCAAAATATAACGGAATCCTAGAAAATAAACTACAATGGTGGAGGCCATTGCCTCTGTCGTGCCTGACACTGTGGCAATCTGCGTCTAGGAGCTGGACGTGGTGCTGCAGCTGGGATTGGCTCTGGAGCTGGCTCTGGCTCTGGCTCTGGTCCTGGACCTGATGCTATAACTAGTTGTATGGGAGATGACGTAGACACATGGTACGGAGGTGGGGTGGCATCTGTAGCTGAAATGCCTCAAAATTTGGGAACGACTCTAGGTCCCAACACAT